CCCAGAACCCATCCGTTCACGCAGAGTATCCATGGGCCAACCATATAACGTCCATCCGTTCTCGCAGAGCATCCATAGGCCAACCGTGATAAAAGCCACACGGACACCATGTTGACGCAGAGCATCCCTGGGCCAACCATGATAACGTCCACCCAGAACCCATCCGTTCACGCAGAGCATCCATGGGCCAACCATATAACGTCCATCCGTTCTCGCAGAGCATCCATAGGCCAACCGTGATAAAAACCACACGGACACCATGTTGACGCAGAGCATCCCTGGGCCAACCATGATAACGTCCACTCAGAACCCATCCGTTCACGCAGAGCATCCATGGGCCAACCATGAAAGCATCCACCCATGTTTCATTCTTTCACACAAAGTGGGTTTTTCGTCTTGCGTTTCGAAGGTTTATCCTGGGATGGATTTTTTGCTAAAAAGACCTCCTAACATCAAGCGGTTTTGCTCCTAGGCAACACCGTTTCGCCCTGTATTTTGCACTAGGTTCTGCTTTTTGCAACAAGAATCGAAGAACTAGTCTGCAGAAGGGCGTCTGCGGGGGGTTTTTCTTTTCACAAGAGCCGAGGCTACAGTGTCTGATGCCCTTTGGAATGATACCGTGCCTGGGGCTGATCTGGGGTTCCCTTAGGATTTGGGTGTAGGGTTTAGGATTTCGGGTTTCGGGTTTAGGGGCTATGAGGGTTTAGGCTATGTGGGGTTCAGGGGATCTACAAACCCGGTTAAAACAAGAAAGCGCACAAGCCTAACCCCTAAGCCCGACCGTACACTCTTCCACTCTTCCGGAAGCCTAAGCAAATCCCGTAAACCCTTACAAGCTTTAATTTTTGTGGAGCGGGAAAGTCAAGCCTAGGTGCCCTATCGTGGCGGCTGGTGGGACATCGGAGACACAGCGGATCCTGGGTTGTCGTGTTAAGGAGCTAAGTTCGGGTTTAAGCTACCATAATACGGAAACCCAGAGGTCCCTAGTATGGTAACCCAGTATTCAGTTTAGGGTTTAGGGTTTAGGGTTCAACCCTGAGCCTTGAACCCTAACCCCTGAACCCTAAACCCTAAACCCTAAACCCCTGAACACCTAAAGCAACAAATCCAGGATGACTTGGAGAATGCTTGGATCCGGCGCTTCGGACCTGTCCGACAAAGGACTGGGTCGCGGCTCCGGGGTTTAGGGTTTAGGGTTTAAGGTTTAAGCTTCCTTTTGAAGGTTCCTTGAAGAGGGATCTATAGGGGTTCTATCAGGGTTTCTATAAGGGTTCAGGCTTTCGTGTTGATGGGTTGAGAGTTTAGGGTTTAGGGTTTAGGGTTTAGGTTTAGGTTTCTGGGGTCAATCGATTCCTATCGGCATCTGAACTACTAGGCATTACAAGGTAAGACTTTTTTAGGTTATTTAAATTCCTACCCATAATGAAATGGGGGTTTCCAAAAATAGGGGACCCTAATATAGTACCCTAAATAGTAGGATCCTTATTATAAGGGCCCCAAAATAAGGTACCCCTAATTTTCGGAAACTCCCAAATAGGTGAGTCGGTTCACCTTTTCTGGGCTAGGCTACTCAGCCCACTGAGAGGATCCATGAAGTTTTTGGCTGCCACGTGCCAGTCTTTGTCAATTGGTTCGGCTTACTCCACAAGGATCGTTCAGACTACCAACCTTACAAACGTGCCTGGGCAACTGTGGCCAGAGCTATACTGTACAACCCGGAGTGCAACTTCGTAGCTCTGTCTATCCTCGACCGGGGGCCAACCCTGCCACAGGGATCAAGGAAGGTGACTGGGCTTTGGAATACCATACTTTAATACTTTTTTTGGCGGATCTGTTTCCTAAAGGAACCATTATGAAATAAAAGTCTAAACCCTAAACCCTAAACCCTAAACCCTAAACCCTTTTCTCCCTGGTTACTTCAAAGCCCAGGTGAACTATCTTGACGAGATGCCGAACCTGAACCTCTTCGGGTCCTCTCATGGACACATTCCCATCCCGCTGGTCAGAAAGGCTACAGTGACGGCGTTGGATAAGA